TGGAAAAATCCCGAATAGCCATCTAAATAACAAAAATAGGAATACCTTGCCAACCTTTCCAACATCTGGTCTATAAAGGGAAGTGGAAAATGATCTTTTCGGGTTGCCTTGTTCAACTTTCTATAATCAATGCACATCCTCTAACCCGTAACCGTCCTAGTAGGGATAAGTTCATTATTCGCATTCTTGACTACGGTCACACCCCTTTTTTTAAGAACCACATGGACCGGACTAACTCATTCACTATCAGAAATAGGGTAGATTACCCCAGCATCTAGTAACTTAAGCACCTCTTTTTTAACCACTTCTTTCATGTTAGGATTTAATCTACGTTGGTGCTCTATAGAGGGTTTATGATCATCTTCCAAGAGAATTCTATGCATGCAAATCGATGGGTTGATTCCTTTAATGTCGTCCATGGTGTACCCTATGACCTTGCGATGCACCCTAAGTGTTCTAAGCAACTTATCAGTTTCATTTTCATTCAGACATGCATTCACAATCACAGGATAAGTGGAGTTAGGGCCAAGAAATTCATACCTTAAAGATGAAGGGAGAGGTTTTAATTCTACCTTTGGTGTTTTATCCTCTTCACAAGTAGAAACTTTTGGCTCTAACTTCAGACTTTCAAACTTTGCATTCCGAAATGGAGTAGATGATGTTGATTCTAAAGATTGAGCATATGCGGCTACCTCGGGGTCTTCATCATTTGTTGAAGCTTCGCTTACCAAACACTTCTCAAGTGGATCAGCTGAGTAATGATTTGCAAGTTGCTCATGTGTACATTTGTCAATCACGTTGACCCTGTAACAAATTTTATCAGTTAGAGAGAGTTTCATAGTATTGCTTAAATCAAATTCTACCGTCTCCCCTCTAATATTTAGAGAGAGCCTTCCATTTTTAACATCAATTATAGCACCTGCAGTAGCAAGGAAGGGTCTTCCTAAAATAATTGGAATGTTAGAATCTTCTTCTATTTCTAAGATAACGAAATCGACCGGGATAAAGAACTTACCGACCTGGATAGGTACATCTTCAAGTATACCTACCGGATATTTTACCGATCGATCCGCCAATTAGAGTGATATCGTGGTTGGCTTCAAATCACCTATGCCAAGCTTCCTACAAATAGACATCGGCATCAAACTTACATTTGCACCTAAATCACACAAAACACGGTTAATAGAGACATTGCCAATAACACAAGGAATAGAAAATGAACCTGGATCCTTAAGCTTAGGAGGCAGCTTATTCTGGATGATAACACTACACTCCTCAGTAAGGACCACAGTCTCGTATTCTTCCAACTTTCTTTCATTGGATAGGATCTCTTTTAAGAACTTAGCATAGGAAGGCATTTGAGAGATAGCTTCAGTGAACGGGATATTGATGTGCAACTTTTTCAAAATCTCCAAAAAATTTCCGAACTGTTTTTCTAACTTAGTCTTAACTAACCTTTGGAGAAAGGGTAGAGGAGGCTTGTAAGGAGCGGGGACCACATATTTTTCAACTTTTTCTTCTTCCTGCATCTGGGTCTCATTATCCACATCTATCACAATTTTACTTTTCTCTTCATGATGACCATCTTTCCCATCATTTTCCTTCCTTCATCTTAGATCCCTCATATTATTTTCCACTCCTAAGGGTTATAGCATTCACATGATCTCTGGGATTCGTCTCAGGTTGTCCAGATAGCATGCCTGAAGGCCTAGAGGAAGAGCTAGCATTTTGCGCCAATTGAGTGATTTGTGTCTCTAGCATCTTGTTATGCGTAGCTAAGGAATTCATCTTAGAGGCCAATTGTTTTACTACCTCATTCGTGGTTTGTTGTTGTTTAAACTCTTCATTCAATTTCGACTGAGTCATCACAAACATTTCCATCATATTTTTTAAATTAGACCTTTGGGGAGGGAGATTAGATTGAGGAGCACGAAAACAAGGTGGACCAAAATTAGATGCGGGCATGGAATTTCCAGGTGGGTTTCTATAAGAAAAATTAGGATAATTCCTCCACCCCGGATTATAAGTGTTGGAGAAAGGGTCTCCCTTCTGATTAAAGTTATTAACATAGTTAACATGTTCATTATCAGAAGTATTAAGGGATGAGGGGTTTTCTAATTGACATTCAAGTGCAGAATGACTCACATGACCACATATCTCACATGCAATTGAAGTAGACGCCACAGAATTAATACTCAAGCTTTCAACCTTTTTAAATAAAGCATCAACTTTAGAGGATATATGATCTAAAGCATCTATTTCGTACTTGCCGCCTTTTGATGTCTAAGCCCGCTCGTTCACCCATTGATAGTGATTTTGAGCCATGTCTTCAATGAGAGTGTATGCCTCATCTATTGTTTTGTTCATCAAAGTTCATCCTGCAGCAGCATCAACAGTCATCCGAGTGTTGTAAGTGAGCCCATTGTAGAAGGTGTGAACAATTAACCACTTCTCCAGTCCATGGTGAGGGCACATCCTCAATAATTCCTTGTAGCGTTCCCAAGCTTCATAGAGTGACTCTCCTTCCTTCTGTACAAAGCTTGTGATCCGGTTCCTCATCTGTGCTGTTTTACTTGGGGGAAAATACTTTGCAAGAAATGCCTTGGACAACTGATCCCAAGTGGTGATGGACCCAGCGGGCAATGAGTGCAACCAAGCCCTAGCCTTGTCCTTTAAAGAGAACGGAAATAATCTGAGTCGAATAGCATCATTGGTCACTCCATTAAGCTTCAAAGTGTCGCAATACTCTAAGAAAATTGACAGGTGGAGATTCGGGTCTTCAGTAGCACCTCCTCCAAACTGATTTTGCTGAACCATTGAGAGCAGTGATGGTTTTAGCTCAAAATTATTAGCTTCAACAGTGGGCCTTGTAATACTTGAATGCGTGCCTTGAGCATTTGGGACAGCGAAATCCTTAAGAAGCTGATTTTGATCGCCCATTGTAGCTTGTTCTGTGTTCCTTTGCTCTCGTATATACCTTCTTATCTCTGCAAGAGTCACTGATAGTTCAGGATTATTTTCGTTGTGTACTTCTATTTGATGCCCTTGCATAAAAGAAAGTGAGTAACGAAGAGAATAAAAAAAAAATCTAGTCTAGTTTAATAACGTAAGTACTTAATATTAACACCGTAGTCCCTGATAACAGCGCCAAAAACTTGGTAGGCAAAATCTGCAAGCCACAGACTCGTTGTAGCTATCAAGGTCGATCCCACAGGGACTAGGGGTTAATTATCAAATTTCACGTTATTCGACTAGCTAAACTAATGAGTAAATTAGAAGAGATGAAAATTAAAAGAAATAAAATAATAACTAATCAGGTGGAATTCAATATAATGAAGAGACAGAATTTGGTAGGCAAAATCTGCAAGCGTACAGACTCGTTGTAGCTATCAAGGTCGATCCCACAGGGACTAGGGGTTAATTACCAAATTTCACGTTATTGCTATCAAGGTCGATCCCACAGGGACTAGGGGTTAATTACCAAATTTCACGTTATTCGACTAGCTAAACTAATGAGTAAATTAGAAGAGATGAAAATTAAAAGAAATAAAATAATAACTAATCAGGTGGAATTCAATATAATGAAGAGCCAGGATTGAGTTATCACCACAACTTCGATGCTCAATGATGAATTATTTCAGTTTTCGGTGTTGGTTTAAACTAAAAAGGGTGAATTAACCTAAATTAATCTAAAGCCTCTTTCAAGGTCAAAAAATCGTGCCTAATTAATCTCAATTAACCTTCTTTCATGGAATCAAGATTAAATTAAACTCATTAAGCTTCATGCTAATCCAAATCAAATCCTCAAGGAATCTAGCCTACTTTCGTGGTTCTAGCTCCCTGCTTAATTTCTAGAGATCCGGTATTAATCTTCACCTTTCAGTCCTTCAATTAATTACCTATGATTGCTAATACGGTGATCAAGCGAATCAACAAAATTAAAACACTAGAAATCAAGTTCAAAGATTTAAACTTTCACCAAGAACCTATATCAATTCATCATCAATCACCAAAAAGTTGGGTTCTTTCCCAATCCTAGACAAGAAATCTACTCACACATGATTGGGATAAGAGAATACATCAAATAATTATGCAAATCAATCATAAGAAGAAATAAATCAAAGAGAGGAAAGAATTAACCCGTCTTTCAATTGAAATCTCCAAAATCAAAACTTGCAATCCAATCTTGTACAAGAAATTAGTGTCTTTCTTCAATGCTTGAACTCTAAAATAATTGCTAATTGATGGCTAAGAGAACATAACAAAAGATATCCAAACCCTAAGCCAAAATATCTATTTATATGTCCCTAAAAAATCTGGAAAAAGATAAGGTCCGCGCCATGGGTGTGGTGCGCACCATACCAGGGTGTGGTGGAATCTGTTTTTGCTGATTTTGTGCTTGTTTGTTCAGTTTTCAGTATTTCGGCTATAACTTTTGTGTCCGACCTCGGAATGAGATGATTCAAGTTGCATTGGAAACCTGTTGAAGAGATCTACAACTTTTATCTTTTGAGTTTTTCTGAATTCAAATTGCATCATGGTCGAAATTCCAGTTCTTCATACTCGTGCATCCATTTTCTTCACGAACCATGCATTCGAAATCTTGTTGTTGCTTCAAACTCTTGTTTAACTTCCAACGATCATTAAATCTTTCAATCTTGAGCCAATACCTACATATAAGAACACAAACAACAGCAGTATCTTCGATCTAAACACGAAATATGCATTAAATACTCGTAAATCATGCTTGAAACACACTAAGATAATGCATATTTTACGTGTTTATCAATAAATGGTGGTGAAACCCACTCACCCAATATGACTACCAAGGGGTCTCACCATATCACTTCCTTTATATCTTATCACACCTAAAGTTTCTGTATTGGATATTAATTGTGTAGTACCTACATTAGCAATGTATTACTAGGACATAACATCTGGCTTTTTCATAATGATCAAGTTGAATTTAAATATCTGTTGTAACTATTTGCTTCAATTAGGTTCTTGATGCTCTGGGCGAGTCTGTAGAATGTGCATCTTATGACTCATGGATGGTTTATGTGCCTGAAGGTGAGTTCTTATCACGGATCGGCCCCACAGAATTTCTAAAGGTGAGTCCACTAGCACTGTATGATGTTCACCTTGCCTTCAACTTTCAAATGGATTATGTTCCTTCAGCCTTTATTTTTGGGTACCCTACTTAAAAGCTAGCATGAAAGAACAACAACATATTCAATATCGCATTTAGCTTTCATCTAAATTCCTTATTGTACATTATGTGATATGTGAATGTCACTATTTACATGGCTTTATACTTGGCCCAAAAAGAAAGATATTAAAGAGTTACCATTGTTATTTCAATACTCACGGATTACACAAATACCTGGCAATTATATATGAATTAATGTACACATTGACATATAAATATAATATAGGCCAGTACAAGGAATGAAGATTGCCACATGTCTCATAGATGATAATTTGTGGTTTTGAAATAGATTATGTTGTTTTCTTTTCTCTCTATCCATAATCATTCCCAGGATATCACATTGGTTTCATCAGGAAAACAAACCAATTAAGGGGTTACATCCAAGAAAAACACACATTCATGCATCCACTGCTCGCACACACGCGCACACACGCACACGCAGAGACACCCAAGCATGCACACATACATATTTTCTGTAGAAGTTAATAATGCATGAATTTTGGTGGCTGGGCTTGAGTTTTTAATTTATCTGTTGTTGACTCTGTGATCTCTTTTCCTTTATCATTTCTCTTGATTTTTCTTTCATACGCTGATCTCAAGTAGCTATTCACTTAGTTTCTTATTACAGGACCTTGAGAAACATGCAGGGCTTGATGCTGTACATGAATGGAAAAAGCTTCTTGTAAGTGTGAATACTAAATTTCCATTGCAGTTTTTCACTTGCACGTATTGAGGTGAAATTGCCTTGGGTTTATGAGATTTTAAGGCACAACCAATATGGTGTTCCTTATTGCTAATGGCCTACTATACTGAAGGCAAATTTCTCTCTGTACGTACTTTTGGTAACCAGACACTTGGCACAAATTAAGAGGGTTGATGTCAGGTTGAGGGCTAATCAAAAAGTTATTGTGTAAAATTCTGTATGAAACCTTCTCAATGCTACTGGATTTGTTCACCCTAGACAACTGCATTTTTGTGCTAAATCTTTGATGATCTTTGATTATCCTGATATATGGAGTTTGATTCATTACCATTTATGAGAAATTTTTACCTTCATATTTTCTTTCTTTTCTTTGTGAAATAGTAGGCTTACACAGACTCACACATACATACACCCCAGAAACACACACAGACCAGAAGCACACACGGAGAAGATATAGGTTTCATGGACCTTTGAGAATTTATTAGCAATTCTTCTGCATTGTCATTTGACATTTTATTTCTGCATATAATAATTTGTTTGGTTAGTTTTCTAATGAATATTTAACTCATCCACAGGATGCAGTACTCCCATTGTCTGCTGCTGCAATGGCACTTCCCCCTATTTCTATTCGAGGAGATTTGGGCATTCTCTCGACAGCTGCAGCTAGATATGCTCCATCTCTATTTAAATCCTTCATTCAAATGGGACCTCAAGGAGCTCTAGGTGCTACTAAGCTCTTGAGACCTTTCTCCGAGATTGTCGATTCTCTTGAGCTCAAAGACCCTTTTGTTCGCAATTGGGTGGATCTGTTATGCTTTCTACTTGCAGGGGTGAAATCTGATGGCACCCTCTCGGCTGAAATCGTGAGTTCCAATAATGTCTGCCATCTTTTTAGATCTTTGAGCTTATTATTTTCTTCATATTATTTGCTTGCAAGACGTCAAAGGGAGCTTCTTTTCCTTATACATAATGGATTCAACATCTTGAACAGCACAATTAATGGGCATAAGGCAGAAGTACAAGAATTACAAGATCACAAGGAAAATATTCATGAACATTTACTCTTAAATTTAACTGTCATTATCATCCTTTATAGCTTTTATGATTAGTTATTTTCATAAATCCACATATCAAGTTCAACACAATGAAAATATTTCCTATGTGATTAAAATTATAATTTTGAACATATTGCTAATATTGAAATAGCTGTGAGTGGTATTCTGTGTTTAGGGATGTAATCGTGCATTTATAGTGAGAATTCGATTTTGATGCTTATTAAGTAGAGGATTAAAGATAATTTTAATCATACTCGCATCTTAAGTTCACCACTCATCAATGACATTAACTTTCTGATAAAATTATTATCCCTCAGGAAGTTTCAGTCACAACAAATTTTTCTTAAAATTTATACATTCTTCCTGAGTCCATGACCACAATAAATTTGTCAGAGGAAATTGTCGTTTGGCTAATGCAGAAGTCACTGGTTTGTGGCATAGCTATAGATTGAACAGGTGGAGGGAAGCGGTTCAAGTTTTCCCTTCACATTCAGGAGAAGGATGCAGAATGCAGAATGCAAGATTTAATTGGTCACTGTCAAACACATCCTTTCTAATGATTTTAACGTAAACTTTGTTTGATGTACATTGTTACCTCACTATCTGTTAAGGTTAAGCTTTTGGAAAAAATAGTTGTTTGAAGTGCCATTAGAACATTGGGTTACAATCATCCTGGCTTCAAAAATCTGCGAAACTTTTTAGTTACGCTTATCACTCCCTATTTATTATGTCTTTTCAAATTAACCATGCTTGTGCTCGAGTCATCCCACAGGATTCAATGGCTGACTCAGAGAGGAGTCTAAACGTTAAAGTTTGTTTTTATTATTACACTGCTAAACTGACGACCCATCATCTAAGACTTGGGATAAAGTGGTTAAAGGACAATTTTTGTGTTCAAACGTATCTATGTAATACCAATGCAGAACTTGTCATTTATACTTTTCTGCATGTAACCAAGTATAACTCAATCAACTGAATGACAATGCAGAACTTGTCATTTATACTTTTCTGCATGTAACCAAGTATAACTCAATCAACTGAATGACATTGTTGTGATTGACCCTAATCATTACGATTTAGTGTGGAACCTTTATGGTGAATATAAAACAACAAAAGCAACAAAGGAAAACAATCACAGCAAACATTAGATTGTATGTGGTTCGACGGTGTGCCTACATCCATGAAAGAAAGGGGAGAGATCCTTTACTATCTTTAAGAAGATTATAGTACATATTGACGGCCAAGAAATGGCTAGGAGTCATCATTTTTGTTATTTAAGATCAATTGTTTGGAGTTCTATGTGATTGTAGCATATGCCTAAAATTTGAAGAAAAAGTTGTTTAAGACAAGTACAAGTCTCACAATGCTTTATGGATGAGAATGTTGGGCAACTAAAGAACAACATATGCAGAAAATGAATATATCAGAAATGAAAATGTTACAATGGATAAGTGGATATGTGTTTAAGGGATACAATAAGAAATGAGCATATTCAAAGAAAGTTTAGAGGTTGCTTCTATAGAGGATAAAATTGGCGAGAATCGTTTGAGATGGTTTAGTCTTATGCTACATACTCCTATAGATGCACCAAATAGGAGTGACAATAAGGTTATAATTGAGAGAGAGAGAGACGATGTGACACCTCCAAAATGTGTAGCTTATTTTGAGATGCATGGCGACGGCAACATGTGCGAAAAGTACATGCTAAGCCTGCTATGAACTTCTATATCATAATTAAAACTTTCAACAAAGAAACTTTATTGATATATTGAAGTCTCAGAGCAAAAACTATATTGTAACAAGTTCACTAATGAGTCAAAGACTCTTATATTACATAAGCATATCAACATGTCTAAGATAACTATAAACTCAGCGTCAAAGCACTATGTAGAAGATCCTTCTCATGTCTCAAACTCCATGTCATAGATAAATTTGTCTAATAATCATTTGAAAATGAGTGAAAATATTGCAGTGACTTACACTCAGTACGCAGAAAGCTTATCATTAGCGGATCAGACATGTTTAAGAAATTATCAATACTAAATTCAGAAAAGCAATTGTCAAAAAAGAACGATTGAGAAACACATAATATTTCGAATAAGAGGAATTTCCAAGAATAGCATGTGACATTGTTATAAAAGAGTATTCACATATTTAGGAAACAATACAAATGAGCATGGGAACGCGCATCGAATTACTTATAAATTTTATAAATCACACTTTGAAAATTTCCTTAGTTGTCACACTAAGCCTACTAAAATTATAGCTAATAGCATGGGAACGCGCATCGAATTACTATGGGTCGACCCGAGGACAGAATGTATCTAACATTACCATAAGTTACCAGAAGGCCACTTCGCTTTTGCCAAAAAAGGCACTTTAATACTGGTCGGTATATTCAATACCATATGGTAGGCTTAAATAATTCACTTTACTTCATAGTAGACTTTTGAGGATTTTTTGCGTTTAAAAACAATTTACTGGAAAAGACATTTTCAGACGATAAGGGCATGTTTGGTTCGTTTTCTTCATTTTCCAAAACCCATTTTTCTTCACTTTTTTGCATTTCCTTCACTTTCATAGAAAGTATTTTTTATGTTTGTTTCGCCAAAAAATATGGCCTGAAAGTACTTTCCACCACTTTTCTTAGTTTGGTTCAACTTGAAAAAAGAAAAAAACAAATGATGTGTGAATAGATTCCCTCGCTTTCTAGTGTTTGGTTCAAATAGAAAAAAAGAAGAAAGTATGACTATGGTCACCATAGTGTGCTTATCACCCTTTTAGCATAGATTCATTTCCAACATAAATTGAGAGGTGAACATATATCAACCATCACATAAAAATACTTAAAATTTTGAGGGACTAATTTGTAATTTTTAAAAAAAAATTGAAGGTAGTATTTGCAACATATTCAAAGATTTGAGGGGCTAATTCTAAAATCATATAATCATCTCATCTAATGAAGAACCAAAATGCTCAATGAACAATGTTTAATTGAATGTCATAACAACCAATTGATTACAAGGACATCGATCGCCAGCATGTAATATCCAAGACTAGACCACGGCTAAAACCAACTCGAGAGATAGTTGATCTTTTACTCTTTATTCTTTATATAACCCAATTTTTGTTTATTTTGCAAGTAGGAATTATGGAGAGTATTATTTTAATTAAGTGTCAGGTTTCATAATTTCTTTTCCAACCTCCGTATGGTTGTGGTAAATTTTAGTATTTAGAAGATATTAATCATGCTTTTAAGAACTGAAAAGTTCATATATTAATAAGTTCAAAATTGGAAAATGTAGAGGTTCTAGCATGATTTTTCTACAAATAAAAATATCAAGATGGACTGTAAAAACTCTTATTCATTATGTGGAAAATATCTATTCACTATTTATCATTTGAAGAACAAGGAAAACACCACAATAACCATCAATAACCAAATCAAGAAAAATCCTCAATCTTGAACAGACCATAAGACTCAAACTCCCCAAATTCTTATGCCGAACTCATCCAATTGCTTCAAAATCAACTTCGACTTCCCTTTGTGCTTGACCCTTACCAACACAGAACCCATCAATAACCAAATCAAGAACAAATAAATTAAACTGCACAAAATCCCAATCTCTTCAACATCAACCATGATGAAATTGTGATTAAAAATAGAAAATTAAAAAAAATCATCGAAATGAGTACTTGAGGAGTAGTTAGCACCTGGATATGGGCTTTCACGCGAGGAAAAATTGAGATTTGAGGCTGAGTGAGGAGTCAGAGATGTTTCGATGGTTTCTTGAGGGTTTCGATGGAGGCAGAGCTGAGATCAGTCGAGGGTTTGTTGAGGATGACAACGAGTGAACTGAGACAACGAAGGTGGCGAGAAAGGCTGGTGGCGGCGTGGGGAAGAGACAACGGCGTGAGGGGGCGACAGCGGCGTGAAGAGGAGATGAGGAGGCGAAGACACTGTCAAGTCGGCAACGAGAAGCAGGGCGACAGTAGCGGGGATCAAACTGTCAAGCGGCGAGATTTTCTCAGGGAGCGGGAGAGAAATGAGAGGGAGAAGGGGGCAGTGATTGTAAACCTAAGGTGAGAACGTGAGATTTCAGCGGGAATGAAACCGACGCCCCCTTTTCTCCTAAAATCGACCAATTTCAGCGGTTTTAGGAAAGAAAACAACATTCCTTCAAAGTGAGCTAGCAGCCCCCTTTTCCCCAACTTTTATTTTTCTATTTTGACCATCCAAACATCTGAATTTACAGAAAACTGATAATTTTTAGCTCTATTCCTGCCTTCTTCTTCCTCTCTCTAATCTCACTTCCTTTTCATTTTCCTTTTTTTGTAAACTGAAGATTTGGAGATTTTGGGTTTTTTAAAGTTTCTATGGCTTTTGGATTTCTAAACTCTCATATTAATGGTAATTACAACAACACAATAACCCAATTATAACTCTTTACTATCTTCAGTTATGAAACTCTTCATTTTCTTTTTTTTTTATAGAGAACCGATTCTCTACATCCTCCCCACCTTGAATAAAGTTTTATTCTTGAAACTTTATGTACCTTGGTTTTAAAGAGTTGAGGATACTTTTGTCGCATCTACTCTTCAAGCTCCTAAGTTGCTTCTCTATCAGAGTGATTCTTCCATTGAACATTCATGTATTGAATAGTATGTCGCCTAGGTGCTTGTTCCTTTTGATCTACAATGTATTTTATTCGCTCCTCGTATGTTAAGTCTTCCTTCAGGTCAATTAGTTCCAGTTCTATGACTTGATCCAAATCTCGAATGGATTTTCTTAGCATATATACATGAAA